TCTGAACGATTTGGATATTTTTCTGTGAGCGTTTGTTTGTCAACAAATATCTGCGGCTTCCGTCAAGTGGTGCGAGTGTAATACTGCTTATACACACATATAGGTATATATAATTATGTAAACATGTACATATCTCTAGACCTATTTATCAGTCAATCTCTCTCTCTCTCTCTCTCTCTCTCTCTCTCTCTCTCTCTCTCTCTCTCTCTCTCTCTCTCTCTCTCTCTCTCTCTCTCTCTCTCACACACACTCTCTATCTGTGTGTATGTGTGTGTATGTCTTTCTGTTTGCCTGTAACATGCACGTATCTCTACGTAGAATCACTATCGCCACGTAAACCATAATCATTTTATCCCCCCCCTCTCTCCTCCCCCCCCCCCGCTCTCCTCCCTCCCCCCCTTCAAAGAACCAAGAGCAATAAGCCAATAAGTGTCCGTAGCAGCGACGCTCCGCCGCTGCGAGCATCAAAGGCAAGAGACAGAATAACAATTATTGCATCATAAAGCCCCAACACAGCGGGAATATTTGGGATTGACTTCATCATTATCATCAGCAGCATCAACAGAGCCATTTCAATAATAATAGCTTTCGAAAATGTTCTCTCTGATGGCAATTTGGATCATCCAAGGTTATCCCGAATGTTTTGATGGGATCAGCATTATGCTTTTAACGCTGGAAATGCTGTTTCGGTTTGCTGGCTTTTATCAGCATTATTATTATTATTATTACATTTTTTCTTTTTATCTTATTATATATTCATTTATTTTGATTCGTTTTCTACTTGTCATTATCATCTTTTTGTTTCATTTATTTTTATTACTTTTTATTTCATTTATTTATTTTCAATTTATCTATTATTTATCTTTTTTTTTTTTTTTTTTTTTTTTTTTTTGACGCGATAAGGGTTTTCATGAATGCGAATGTCCTTTTAATGCGGCTATTGTAATGAGATTTTCCTCATAAATATTTCTAACGTGCGAATTCTCATCAAGTTAGTTACTGTTTCTAAAACTTTTTAAAAATCACTGTGCCAAAATGTACCATGCCAGCCACCTTCGATATATTGTTATGCCACGATGTCAGTGTGCCAACTTCTGTGTTATAGCTCTATGCCAACGACTATGTTGCGGGAACATTTGTCAGACTCCGTGTCACATTATACCACATTGGCAGGCTCCGTGCCATATCATGCCACACTGCCAGGCACTGTTATATCATACCACACCGTCAGGCTCGTGTCATATCATGCCACACTGCCAGGCACTGTTATATCATCACCGTCAGGCTCCGTGTCATATCATACCACACTGTCAGGCACTGCTGTCCGTGATCACACTTTCAGGCTCCGTGCACTGTCAGGCACTGTCAGATCATACCACACTGTGCCATATCATATCACACTTTCAGGCTCCGTGTCATATCATACCACACTGTCAGACACTGTGCCACACCATACCATGTTCTACCACAACTCCAACCACATCAAGCATTATGACATATCAAACTTCATATCACGTCACACAAAGTCAATATCTGTCACTCAAAACCCAAGCAATTCCTTCCAAAAACTACTCTATAAACTCTACAACCACGAGTTCTACAACCACAACCACTATCACAACCACAACCGTTTCTTTGCTTCTCTACTGCACAACCACCACGTCTTCGGTTCTCAGCTACTACACAAGGCAAAACCCTCACTCCACCTTTACCACAATACGTAATGCTCATTCCTTTTCAGCCACATAACAAGGATTTCACTCCACCTCTCAACCACAGAACCGTCACTCGACCTCAACCGCACAACCATTTTTCTACTTTATATTACAACCACACATCCATCATCCAATCTCAGTCCATTCTACCACTATTGCTACACATCCATCTCTCCACCTTTCATCCACCTCTCATCCACCTCAGGCGCTCAACCATACAACAGCGTCACTCCACCATAACTACCAATCACCTACCTCTCTACCTCTCAACACACACACCCTTCTCTCCACCACCTCACCCAAACAACCACACACCCACCCCATCCACCTCTCCACCACCTCACCCAAACAACGCCACACCCACCCCATCCACCTCTCAACCACATCCACCACCTCAACCACACACCAACCCCCCCTTCCACCTCTCCACCACCTCAACCACACAACCACCCCATCCACACCTCAACCACACACCAACCCCCCCTTCCACCTCTCCACCACCTCATCCAACACTCAACCACAACACCCCCCTCCACCCTCCACCACCTCACCCAAACAACCCACACCACCCCCTCCACCTCTCAACCACTCCACCACCTCAACCACACCCCCCCTCCACCTCTCCACCACCTCACCAAACAACCACACACCCACCCCATCCACCTCTCAACCACATCACCACCTCCAACCACACACAACCCCCCCACCTCCACCACCACCTCACCCAAACACCCCCTCCACCTCTCCAACCACCTCACCCAAACACCCCCCCCTCCACCTCTCCACACCTCACCCAACCCCCCCTCCACCTCTCCACCACCTCACCCAAACAACCCCCCCCTCCACCTCTCCGCCACCTCACCCAAAACAAACCCCCCTCCACCTCTTCGCCACCTCACCCACAACCCCCCCTCCACCCCTCCGCCACCTCAAAACAACCCCCCCCTCCACCTCTCCCCACCTCACCCAAACAACCCCCCCCTCCACCTCTCCACCTCCCACCCACCCACCCAAAACCACACCCCCCACCCCAACCCCCACCCCTCCACCTCTCCACCACCTCACCCAAACAAACCCCCCCTCCACCTCCAACCACATTCACCCACCTCTCCACCTCTCCACCACCTCACCCAAACAACCACACACCCACCCAAAGGGGCCGTGTCAAGCCCATCACCCGAGGCTTGCTGATCAAATGATCTTCGTTACTTTCCAAAAATCAGAATTCAGGGTTGAGCTCTATTGAATCACCAGCCATGGGGAAGCAGAGGCGCCGGCAGGAGGGAAAGGCGAAAGGGAGGAGGGGAGGGGGGAAAGGAGGGAGGAAGGGAAAGGAGGGAGGGGGAGGGAGGGAGAGGAAGGAGGGAGGGGGGAGAGGAGGAGGGAGGGGAGAGGAGAGGGGAGGGGAGGGAGGGAGGAGGGAGGGAGGGGAGAGGGAGGGGAGGGGAGGGGAGGGGAGGGGGAGAGGGGAGGGAAAGAGGGAGGGAGAGGAGGGGAGGGGAGGGAGGGAGAGGGGAGGAGGGGGAGGGGAGGGGAGAGGGGGAGAGGGGAGGGGGGAGGGAAAGGAGGGAGGGGAGGGGAGGGAGGGAGGGGGAGGGAGGGAGGGGAGAGGAGGGGGGAAAGGAGGGAAGGGAGGGGAGGGAGGGAGAGGAGGGAGGGGGGAAGAGGGGAGGGGAAAGAGGAGGGGAGGGGGGAGGGAGAGGAGGGAGGGAGGGGGAGGGGGAAAGGATGGAGGGGAGGGAGGTAGAGGGGCAAAGGAGATAGAGAGGGGAGGGAGAGGGGGATAAGGGACAGAGAGGGGATGGGAGAGGGGAGGGAGAAGGGGATAGGGGAGAGAGAAGGTGGGGAAGGTTGGGGCACACGGTATGGGAGGACAGTAGCATAGAAAATAGGGAGGAGGAAAGGGAAGACAATGGTACAGAATTTGGGGAGGGGGAAGGGGAAGTGGAGGGGAAGGGCGAGGGGGAGCAGCTAAACAGATTGATAATAAGGAAATAGATAACTAAATGAAATGGGTAAACAGGTAGACGATCTAATAGACCAAACAAGTAAAGATAAACAGATAGTTAAATAGATAAAGAAATAGGCAAATAGTTGAATAGATAGATTTGGAAATTAATAAATAAATACAAGTAGATAGAACATAAATGAATAATCGAAATAAATACTTAGACTGATAGGTAAATTTTGGAATAAACAAAAATAAGCATATCGAGAAATAAGTGGGAAGTGGATGAATAAATAAAATCAGTTGATAAACAGACAGATAGACAGAGGAATAGATGAATAGATAGGTTACAAAAAAGTAAAATGATAATACATAATAAGAAACGATAATATATATATTACTGTTTAACCATAAATTATGATAATGACAAATCACGAATATGAATTATGCTGAATAAAGAATAAACGAAATTCAAGCATAAATGAATAGATAGACAGAAGTAGAAAGATAGATTAATAAAATACACAAACGAAATTTCAAGATAAAAAACAAAAAACAAAAAACAAAACAAAACAAAAAACAAACAAACAAAAAAAAAAAAACAAACAAACAAACACACCAAACAAAAAAAAAAACAGGAAAGAGGAAAATTACTCAGAAAAAAGAATCCCAGGGTTTCTCTTTAAGAAGCAAGTAAGCAAGCTGAAAATAATGACCAACGAGAAAGATACATTTTATTATTATTGTTATTTTTTGGTAGAGATTTGGCTCCGATTTCGCCAGTAAGTCAGCAACGTCGAAGCGATCAGCAGGATTTTGAAAAGACTCGAGTAAAAATATCTATTTGTGTTGCGTAAAATGAAAAATGGTTTCGGAAACAAATGATGGTCATTTTTGGCTTGCTAACTGTATTTTTTCACAGGAAAAAAAGGAAAATGTTTTTTTTATGTTGGCTGAACAACGTAAAAAAATAATATGAATTATAATGATTTAAGTGTTCAAAAAAAGGAAGATAAAATTGATCTGTACAGCGAAATAACATCCTTGAAAATCGTCTTCTCCAGCACCACATATGAACATAGCATAACAAATAACACAACAAAACAATTACATAACAACATAACATAACAAACAAACGACGTAATTCACTCTTCCCCAATAACGACAGAACAACCCGGAAATAAACATACCAAAAAACCAACATGGCAGAACAGCATACCAAAAGGAACAACCTAAGCATCATCCTTTCCCTCATGACACCAACACACACGATAACTTAAGCACAAACGGAAAGCAGCTGTTGGCGAGGATGCAAGCCTACTGCATATTCAGCGTCC